TACTTTTATCGACCAAAATTAACATTTAGTCATTTTGCGCCGACTTTGTCCAAAACTAAATTCGCCCACGATTATTTGTGTGTACCTGAATTCTTGCAATAATTGAGACTGAATATGTATATATTAAAATAGTTGACTACTTTTGCCCACGGTCGAATTTCAAAACGCAAATTCCAGCGGCGCATTGACAACAATATACGGACAAATAATTTATACTGTGGCCAGGGCGGCACGGACAATAATTACTCGGCCGAATAATTGGGGGTCAGGCAGATATGCGGTCGTGTCATAATATTTAATGAACACTCACACACATGTCGGTCCGCGCGTCCCGCAATTTATCGAGCATTTATTCGGTCTGTCATCGGCGGCAGCGGATAGGAATTTAATTAATTTGGCCGGCGGCAGCCGGTTTTCGGTGCGCGCACGCGACTTATAAATTTTGAAATTTGTATGCCATCAGGGTTGTTGGCGATAAATAACATATTTATCCCGCCGTGTGTACAAAGTAGGCAACGAACGGCGCAGGTGATGAAGCTCAAACATTATGGACCAGAGAAGAGCCCGCCGAGCGGCGCGCACCGAGAGCTTGGAATTCCTATCTGCCCGTGTGTGTGTTATATAAAATAAGAGAGAGAGAGAGAGAAGCTGCGAGGGTCAATATCTGCGAGGCTGTGCAACACACAACTCATATCACATTATTATCAACTCTTATGTGCCACGCGTTGCAAACGACGTGAGTATATGTTTGAGCCAAAAATTCACATAAAAAAATCATTGACGCTCAATTTATTCAATCTGCTTTAAAACTTTTATAAAGTTGGAAAGAAATGCTGGAATGTACTGCAGATTTCCATACATACGATTTATAAATTTATAAAATAAATTAAGTAGTTTCAGCATTTTGTAATTTATTCGTCAGAGCAAAACTTTTAAGGTCAATTAGTTTTATTAACAGAGTCGAATGTTAAAAAATTTCCAGAACAATAATTTTTGCTTTAAGTTAAAAGTTTTCCACAACAAGGAGCACAATTTTTTCTTTGTGGATCTTGTAAATTAATAAAATTAACTTGGAAAATTACCTGTCAACATGATAGTAGGTTGTCCTAGAGAATTATTTCAACTTTAATTCTTCATAATTTTGCTTTTTTATAAATTTAATTAACTGAGCCGTTTATTTTTTTAATGAAAAAGCATATTTTCTTTGTTTGTATTTAATGTTTTTCAATTCTTATTAGAATTTCTAATCCAGTAAATTAAAAATATTTTATGTTTTTCCAGCGTTTGATTTAATCAGACCATTGTCAGCTGTGTTCCAATAATCAATTATTCCAACATGACTTGAGAGAATAAATAATAATTTTAATTTCTTTAATTTTTTTATTTATTTTCTCTACTTTATCTATACTGATTTGTAATTATTAAAAGGATTCCATTGACATTTTAATTTTTCCACAACAGATGATTGATGATGTGAAAGGATTTTCCCATAAAAGAGAGAGAGCAATTTTCGCCTTGCAGGGGTTTTGAAAATTTCAAATGTAGCAAATAAATTGAAAGTGATTGATGTTCAGCTGAAGAATGCTGAATACTTTGCCAAACCCCCAAGCTTGCTTTGCCCATTGCGTTCCTGAAATACTTTCATGGATGCTTTGAAGCCGCTAATTAACCGGCTTCTTTTAACTTGTTGATTGAGATAACTGTCGCCGAAGCTTTTGACGCGATTTAATATTCGAGATACTCATCGTACAAAATAAAATTTCACAACCTCGATTTGCTATACTTTCAATCGATAAAGAAGAAGTGATTAAATGTAACATAATTTTTGATGAATGAAACGGATTTTGGAATCTGCGAGTGCGTAAATTGCAATTTTCCCACATCCAAGTATGCGTCGTCGCGCAGGGTGGAATTATAAGCGCAGCAAGAAAGTATTCCAAGCACGCCGGCAGATTCGCATGTGACTAATAAAAATTCCTTTTATTAGGCTACCGGTTAATAAAGTGGCATGTTTTGCGACTACGCGTTGGAAGTTATGGTCAAAATATATATTTATACACATACAAGTTTCATATGAAACATTTGAATAAAAGTTGTGTCCCTTTGATGATACGCGAAAAGCGCCCGTTTTGATGAGGCTCGCGAGATATTCCTGCCAAAGGTGCCGTGCAAATATCAGCGGCGCATAACTTATTATTAGCAACGAGTTTTAGGGCCCATAAAACTTAACAAAGGGCCGTTTGTTTTCGACTTTGAGCGGCCCGACCATCTCTTCGTGCTCTCTCACGTCTCGCTAATGAATTTTTTGCTGCAATTTCGTATAATACTCTGCATGTTGCCAATTAATGCAGGGAACACCGATCCGGCAGCGAGAGATGCTCAGTGCCTTATTTGTTTTTGTCTCTCTCGTGTGCCGAGCTTTAATTTGGCGGCTCCTTTGAAAAAGTGGCTGCCTCCTTTTTTACCGCGCGCCGCCGAAAACTACTTTGTGCAGCTTTTGCTGCCGTAGCCGCTTTCCTCGAAAGTCTATTCCGCACACACCACAAAACCTTCTAACGCGCTGCTCGCTTTTTGCTCTCCTCACATGCCTTTTCCAGCCCGTGCGCTTTGACGTTGTCCGTCACGAGCTTCCTCAGAGCAAAATATAATACATTTTGCACCGACCAAAAAAATAATAAGTTTCAATTTCACGCGAACCGCTTTATCGATTGCAAATCCGTTCCTGGAAAGAGATTTTCTATATCAGAGATTTTCCTGGATTTTTTAATAAGAAAAAGTTAAACATATATTATTTTATAATTATTTAGAATATTTTCAATAACTTTTAAAAATTTAAGTAATATTTAATTTTATTAATTAATCTTTTTCAAATTTAAAAAGTATAATAAATAATTATTGATGTTATTCCCGTTATTAAAGATTCTTAAATAGTCTTAAACAACTATTATTTTCATTATTGTTGCATGGACATATTATTTTATAAATTTTGATGGTAGTGTGATTATTGAACAAGATTTGGCTTGCGAAAGATTTGTAAATCGCGTAGGGAGTCAATTAAAAATATTTTGACTGTCGAAAATTGCAGCAATATTTCAGCATAATTGTCCAAACATCCTTAATTACTGATGTAATGACTGTGAAGATTATTTAGTATTTGGAAGTAATGCATCAATTTAAGGAAAAATCAAGAAAACTCGCGATGAGACTAACATTTTGCTATACATGAATAAAATTTCGATGAATTTTTTATCTTGGAAAACGGATGATTGTGAAGTGGTAGTTGAAAATTTTGAAATAGAAATTTCCAGTTGCACTCCAATGGGTTTTAATAAACAAAATAATGCCAAAAAAATTTCAATGTGCAACATAAATAATTTTAAGAAGGCCAAATTTCCAAGCAAAATGGATAAGAATTCAAATTTAATTTTAAATTATTGTTGTTTATTTGTCCACATTATTACAAAAGCATTGCTTACATTCAATTTTTGAAAAAAAAAACATTTAAGAAAAAGAGATTGTTGGACAAAAAGGCACTTGCAAAAATTTTGCTAAAACTTCCGAGATCAAAAAGACCCCATCCGCCGCAGTGAGTCTCGGTTGACTAAGTTTTTGTTCTTATCACTTATCACAAATTCTGCCACAGGTAGGCCTTGCAGAAATAGCAACAATAAGAATAATATTAAAATGATATGTCAATTTAATTATTTGATTAATTTATATTTTTTTGTTGTACAAAAACAGCATCTCGCCACTTTTAAGATTTCATTCTAAAATTGGAAGAAAGATCAACCCATCAGTCCAGTTTACCATTTTAAACTGTATGCATTGAACTGAAAAGAACTTTTGCCCCAGATTGATAAAATTTTTTTAGTATTCCAGTATTCTTTGGGTATTTTTAAAACTATTGAATTGCCCAAAGTATTTGTTTTTGTTTAATTCTTTTTTGTAGATTAAAAATAATTTTTTTTTAAAAAAGGTCCCGAGTAATTTTCAAAGCTGGAATTTAATTATGTCCCTGATGATTAGCAGAACATTTACTTTAAAAATCGCCGAGGACCGTTTCGAAGGTTCAAAGTAAGTGATTAATTAAAGCGAGAGATCCGAAATCAGTTGGGAGTCGCCCCTTTGTGCTCCTAAATTAAGACCTAAGAGCGGTGGCGGCAGATCTATGCAAATGAGGAGGCAAGGAAGGGCGAATTACTATGCGGCGCAGGTTTTCTCTCTCTCTCGTCGGCGGCGGCTCTCTTATGAGATAGCCAGTCAGCCGGAGCGCGCGTAAGCCGTCACGGCAAGGGTGTTTGACATGCCATCGCGGCAAACTGGTCGGCTGCGCCGCCAAATAGAGCTACGTGCACTGCACACCAATTATACATATATTCTTACTTCAAGCCCAAAACAAAAGGCACCTGGTCCCCCTGCCCACTTATGCAACCCCGAGCAATTCGCGCTTTTCCTTCAAGTGCCGCCAATTAATCGCTCCTCCGATTGAGCCGTGATCCAATTAAATTTAAACGCTAATCGATCGGAAATCACCCATGTAAACCACTCATTCCTTTACATCAGCAAAGATTTTATTTTAAAATTAATGAAGGCTTTGATGAATCAGACTAATTGTAAGATTTTGAGACAAAAATGTAGCAAAATATTTTTAACTTTTAAAAGATTTTGAGCCAGATCAATAAATTTAAAACTATTTAATTTCTTTTCAACCATATTTAAAAATCTCAATAATTTCATATTCTAAAAATAATTAGATTTCGAACAATAAATTAAGTCAATTTCTAATTTATGAAATATTGCAAAGAAACGGGATAAAAAAATCATAATTGTTTTACCTGTTCTGTCAATTATTGGGTTTAACTTTTTCGAGAAGAGGCAAAATTTTATTTTTTCAATTAAATTTTCTGTTGTGTACAAAAATCTATCAATTTTTAATAAAATTTTCACCGATTTTAGAAAGAAAAAAACTAAATTTTGTTCTTATTTTGTGTGTGTTTCAGATCCATACGCCAACCTGAACCAAAGCCATCGCCACCATCCGTGGAACCAGCAAATGCTGCCCCCACTCGCCCAGGGCCAACATCTGCCTTCGTACAGCGCGTTCAACGCCTACTGGAGTGGCCAGTACCACAGCGTGTCCTGTCCCAACACACCCTTGCAGCACTCGACTGCCCATGGACAGCAGGCCTTCCAGTTCAACTCCACCATCACCACAGGTACAGCCACAGTTTTAATTTCAATTGCTGTTTATTAAGTTCAAACTAAAAATACAAAATAGGGCAAATTAAAAAAAAGCAAGCAATAATCTAAAAAATTATTGAAAGATTAAGCTGAATATTGATTTTTTTTAAAGGGAAAAATCGGTATTTCATATCAATTTAAGTGAATTTAAGTGACAATTTTAATTGTAATTTTTTATTTCTTCGCAGCATGAAAAATACCAACTCAAATAAAAGAAAAATATGCGATTTTGTTGTCAAAAAGATCATTTAAGAACATCAACTTTTAATGAAGAAAGAAATATTTGGGCTTACATTTAGTTCATTTATAATATTAGGTTGAAAAGGAGAAAATCAATGTTTAATTTCGATTTTATTACAAACAATGAGAATTCTGTTGTACGATTTTCAATATATAACAAAGGTTGGAAGGAGGTCGTTGTCGGGAACGAGGTCACCGAGCGCGCGTTTAATTAAAAGCGCATTACCATTGTGAGTGTGTCGAGTATTATTTACAGAATTAATATCAAAGGAAAATAATAATAAATTGCGAATTACCCCCGCGTCATTGAATGCATATCCGGCAATAAACGTAGCGCGGTGGAAAACACCCCTCTTGCGGGTCACACGTCAAAGGGGAGGGTGGGGTGAGATGAGTGCGCGGGCGGGCGGGCGGGCGACTTGTTGAGATTTTAATTATTATTGTACGCGGACGTGCTGCGTGTAATAAAATGAAATGCAAAGGGGGTGGTCGCCGAGGGGAGAAGAGTAATTGATATCAAAGCGGTGGGGAGGTCAAACATTGCAATTACAATGCAAATGGGATTAATTTCAAGAGCTTCTTTAAAAAACATCTTTCATTTCTTCCTACTTAAATGTTTAAAAGTCTCTCTAGATTCAAATTGTAATATAATACGACCCGTGTAAAAAAACTTTCAAGAAGAAAAAAGGGTCAAGAAACGTTTTTTTCAGATTAAGTACGTAGGTCAATTTTCCAAAATAAATTCTTTATTACATGAAATTGAAGAGATATTCCCTGTGTTTGATATAAATGTAAATTCGAAATATATATTTTTTTAAGATTCTGAAAATAGACTAGAACATTAAAATGGGAAAAAAATTCCTGAAAAAAATTCGAAAGTTCTTCTTGCAGTCTCACATATTTTAAATCAGAATCATTTCCAGAAGGAGTTTTTGATAAAAATTGGGAAAAAAATTCAAAAAATGAAGTTTTCCGCAACCCAAAAATGAGATAAAACAGAAGGTTTAGTTTAGAAGTGCCTTTTGAAAAGATTGATGATTGTTGGCGCCGGAATCGTTTTTCGGATGCAATTTCGAGCCGGTGATGCATCGCAGGGGAAGGGTAGGTTTTGAGGGGACAAGATAGTAATATCAAGTGTCTCATATTATTGCACACACACTCACACATCAATGAGATGGGTCGCTCGCTCGCTCCTCTTCCTCCATTCTCTGCTCTTTTTTTATTGCACACGTGACAGGAATAAAAAGAGGATTGCGCGAGACTCGAACGCGATTGTATATGATACTTTTCAATTTGAACTTTGAATCAAGGAGATCGCGCACTTGACGCATTGGATTAGAAGCGAGAACAAGGAAAGGCTCAAAAGCAAATATGAGAACGAGGAAATCCCTAAATTTAGTGTAATTTTCCTGGATAGAGGAGGAAAATTCTGCCAGATTTCAAGGAAAATTCCGCCGACTGATGAAATTTAATACCAAAATGTTGATACTCATTTGCATAAATTCGATCTAAATTTATCCATATTGATGATTTACGCAAAGGTTATCATCTAAATTTAGTTTTGACTTTGATTGGTCAAATTTTGTCGAATATTTATTACAATAATTCATAGAAATTCCGTCGGCCTCAATGTGACCGATGAAAATTATTTTAATGAAAAACCAATTTTCTTATGGAAGAGAAGAACTCTTTTTAGGAAATAGCCTGAGTTCTTCACTTTCGTGATGATCTCAAGTGTCAATTTCTTCAAACAAATTTTGTTATGGTTTATAATAACATTATAACAGAGGTTAGTTTTTCTCAAATAGATATTTGTAATGACAATGAAAAAGACTTTAAAAAATTCAAGATATGAAATGAAGTCTCTGTGTCATAAGTAATGCTTCAAATTAGATTTAAATAAAAGACATAAAAAAAATTATTAGACTTAAAAATTATAACTGAAGAAATGAAGAAGTGTTTTAAGCTTCAAATTCGAACGAAATTTGGCCACTTAAATTACAAAAGAAAAATTTTTTATGTAATAAAGTTTTTGTTAGCAAATATTAATTGAATATTCAATTTTTATTTTTAAATATTGTCTTAATAGTCATGGAATTTAAGATGAAATTTAATCTTTGTAATTTTGACCTAATAAAAGCCATTACAGTTAACGGTTTTCTTTAGTGCTGATCTGAATTCAAGTGATGAAACTTCCTGTTATCAATTTGACAAATTAAAATTGTGCTCCACAAATTTTAATTACGCTGATTTTCATGGATCTTATTTAAGAAATATTGTTCTGAAATTTTATTTTTGTGGTGGAATTTCATGATTTTTAGGGTTGATTCATGGTGCTTTGAATTAATAGTCTGCTTTTCCTCAATGGTTTGTTTGAGTTGTTTGTTGATTAAGAAAAAAAAAAACAATATCCTGCTCTACATGTTTCGACAGTTTGAGCTATTAAATAATTTTGACGAAAATTAGTACTAAAATTAATTTTTTCAAATTATTTGCATCGAATTAGCAGTTTTTTGGGCGAAAAATTATAAGAAGACATTTTTGCATAAAACCATTTTTTACACAAAATGTTGCTATGTTAATATTTATGATAATTTTGGCCAGCGTGAGGTCTAGAGCAAAAAGTATAGAAAAAATGCATTGTTTTTATTCTTCGCCACCTCTGTGGCATATTTCTTGGTGTTCTGCGTGGCGGAAGATGATTTATTTTATTTTTATTTTAACCCTCATTATTTTAAATTCAATTCACCGTAAATTATGTTTGTTAAATTTGATTTTCAAGGAAGTCTTTTCTATAGATTACTGTCAGGCAGAAAAGCGAAAATAAGACGGCGAAGGATCTTGCTTGGCGGGAGAGTCTCTCAATTTCGTCGTTTATCTCTGCAGAGCACTTTGGCGTGCGAGAGAGCGAGATGGCAGCAGCAATATATATACGTGATGTGATGTGCGAGCGTGTGTATGTGTTGAGCCGCTCTTCATCACATGTATTGGTGGTGCAGGCAGGGGTAGTTTGGGTCGGAGGCGCCCTGCGCCATCCCCTTTCGCAACGCGCAGCCAGCCTGAAAACCTAATATATTTCGCATCAAACGCTTGAAAGGAGCCATTATGTAGCATGTCACTCCGGCTTCTTCTTCGCTCTCGCAGGACGGACACGCCAAATAACGCACTAATGTCCTGCCCTGCTGCCGGGGTCACTCTTCTCTCTCTTTCTCTCTCTCCTGCGCTGACAAATAAAAAACAAGCCCAAAGGCCGCTCTTTCTTCCTCTCTCTCTCTGCCTCCTTTAATGTATGGAGCGATATTACTTACTCGCTCCCCATTCTTTTGTTCTTGCCTCGCCTTATTCCCCGAGCAAACCTTTTGCAATTTGCCGTTTTACGACTTCTCTGTGTCTCTCTCATAAAACGCGTAAAGAAAGAGGGAAATTATCTTTTTGATTAAAACACGCCCTCGCATTTTACTTTATTCGAGCAAAATTTCAGCTGACAATAAGGACTTTTCTTTTTAATAAAATAAGGGAAAAGTTACGTTTTATTGTTAGTCTAGCGGCCGGCCAAAAATAAGAGATTGTTCAAAAATTACAAATTTTTGATGTCATTGAAATAAATGCTTGATTATTTAAAATATTCTGGCGAATTTCATCAAATGCATATTTCGACACTAAATGAAATTGCCAAATTGTTATATATTTGACCTTTTGACTTGTTTTTGACCAGCATTTAATAGTTTTTTGGTTCATTTGATTAAAATTATGTAATTTCTTTTAAGACGAACAATGATTGCCAGAGGAAATCTACATTTTTTACAAATTTAATAAATATTTTAACTTATGAATTAATTTAATAATTTTATTCTCTATTTTTTTATTTATTGCTTCTTTTATAAAACATAATTAAATATATTATTTAATATTTTCTGCTATTACAACAATTTCAACTTCTCACAATTAGCATAATATCTTTCATTAACAGCGAAAATAATTTGCCCATTTTAAAAACGATATATAAATCAAGTCTTGATTGCTCATCATAATAAGGCACTACATGTATCTTAAGATTTATAAAGATAAATGACGTAGCAAGTCAAATTAGGATTTTCATTTAATAAATTCCACATAATCAATCTTCAATGTATGCTAGAGGACCATGAATTTATCAATCTCACTTGAAAATTTGCTCATTAACAGGGAAAAAAACTGATTTTGTACATTCAGTATATTTTTAAAATTATTGGAACTGAAGAGATTGGGCTTTTTCCTCGTTGCAGAAAATTGTTGTTTATTCCATAACAAATGAACCATAATTGTTTTTTAATAAAAGACAATTTTCTGCATCGAGGAAAAAGCCCAATCTCTTCATTTCCATGATCATCCCCTCGAGTGTCAACTTCTTCAAACAAATTTAAAATTATTGTATTACATAATTATTAATTTAATAAATTTCACAAAAGTGCAGTCTCTTGAATTGAAGTCCTTCATGAAAATTTAGTTTTCTTAAAAAAAAAACTGCTCAACCAGTTTCAGTCATGGTCTGCAACCCTGAGATGTAAATTATCTAATTCTCAAAAGTGAAAAACCTGAAAATTAATGCCCTTTTTCAACATAAACAATTTCTTCAAAGAGGAAATCCTATTTTTTACTAATTATTTTTACTTGAGCTAGAAAGTTGGCACTCAAGAGAAGTTAATTTGGAATTTCTTTGACACGATGGGAGAAAATAAAATGAAATTTATTTAATTTAATCGAAGTTTCTATTTATTTTATTTTATATAGCATAACCTCCATAAAACTGTCTCAGAATTTACTAATAATTTATATTCTTGCAGAATCTGAAGTTTATGGATTATTTAAAAAAAATCCTTTTGACATATTTTTGCAGTTTTATAACAAATATTTGTGTGATTGTTTGCAGGTAGTGGCCCCTCTTCGACTGTGCCTCAGCATCACCAGCGCGATTACTGGTACTAAAAGGGTTGCCTTTTGACTCAGCAACGAGACGCGGATCTCAAGACGTTATCATGACCTAAAGCCTGCTAGTGACCTACCATATATTATTGATAAATAAGCTGTGAATCGATTTCACTTTATATTATGCCCCTAATTTATTGTTCTTTTACAAAGTTCGCCGTCAAACAACATTCCTAGATTGAAATATTTCTCGGCGGCACCTCCTGTCGCGCCATTACTTGTTTGGTTTCACACTCTTAGTTATTTGCCTGGAACCAAAGTGTGTTTTGTTTATTTTGATGTCTATCGATTGCGAGAGAAATTAAAAATGAATTAATTCGTCCTGCAAGAAGCTCTCTGCGAGGCATGCGAACTCCTCCCTCATATCTGTATAAGTCGGTTTAGGAATCCTCAAAATTTTGTCCTTGGTGAGTTGGACAACGCTCGGGAACAATTAATTAAGCGAGGAGGTTATGTGAATTTGAGTTACCTTTGCAGCCAAATTAGCTGAAACACTGAAACTTAAGGGACCTTAACTTGTTCATTTGTTCAAAGTCTTACACAAAGTAAGAGCACTTCTAATTATTGAAGCATGTGTGCTAATAATGTAGAGTTTATTTAAAAGGAATTGAGCAATTTATTTAATTGCTAATTAAGTGCTCAAATGAATTTCTAGTAACAGAAGAATGAAACATTGTATTATTGTAAAGTTGGAATTATTACGAAACTCAATAAAAATTATTACATGAAAGCAAAATTATATTGGTTTTAATTTATAATTTTTATGAACAAAAAATTATATTATAACGAAGGACCTGAAAGGTACTATTATGGAAAAAACGTTTTGTGTTTGATTAATATAATAAAAGCATTTGCTTATTACATATTATTTTAATATATTTTATAATTATTGTTTTTTACACTATTAAATTAATATAATTTTTATTTTAAAGTAAAATTTTAAACGTAAATATATATTTCTTTACATTAATTTCAGTGAATTATTATTTAAATTATTGAAAAAAATAAATGCTTGTCATGTTAGGCGCACAATTTATACAAATTTATCAAACAATAAATAAAATTGTGGTCAGAATTTAAAACAAGAGATGACAAATCAATTAAAAATATTATTCTTCAAAATAAATCAACTTATCAGCCTCCAAATTTTGCTTAAAACTGAATGGAACTAAAAATCTGTTTATTATTCTATCAGGCCCAAACCGAATCATAAAATTTAATTTCGGTGAAAAACGGAAATCTTTTTTCTTTGAATACTCAACGAAATTTTTAAAATTTCGAAAATTTTGAGGAAGAAAACGTAGCGCACCGCGGGGCTTAAGAAATTCGCAGAAGCGCGCGCACGTGTGTTGTTTGCACACGCAAAACACTTCTTCTTCTTCTTTTATGTGTGGCGCGTATAAATAAATATTTCACAAAATAAGCTGGCAAAGTGCACACACAGTATAGCTGCCGGGATACGCGCGAGACGAGCAAAGCTGCTTTCATCTCGAGCAATTCTTTTGAAATTACGCCTCTTTGTTCTTTTATTCCGCACATCACAGAGAGAAGACATCAAGGTATAAAAGGAAACAAATTTCCTTGCCCTATCTGGCAGTGTATCTGCCAGAGTTGTGTAGCTCCCACGGTAGTATTATATCGGAATTTCGCTGCTCCTTTGTGAAAGACAAAAGTTGCCGCCGCGCGCTCGACTTCTTCTTCTTTGCTCTCCTTCGAAACGCCTTTTCTCGCAAACTCGCCTTTTCCTCTCTCGTTTTTTTTTCTTTCTTATTCGGGATCAAATAATATAATTGGACGAATTAATTACTCGAATCGGACAAATTCAAATTAGAGTGCGAAATGATCCCTCCTCCTCCTCCTCCTCCTCCACGACAAATATCTTTTATTTAATGCGCGTGCAAATGACAAAACAGGTCTTTCTATCGCTCTCGCCGTTTTTTATGTCCCTTCGACTCCTGGGTGGTCTAGAAAGAATTCCTAGCCTCTAATCAATATCAATCAAGCCTTTAAGAGTGCAGCACTCAAATTGATGTCGTTTAATAGTTTTGAGCCTCGCGCCGCCTGACGACCTCCATTCGCTTCTTTTTATTTGGAATAGAAAAGGAATGTGTCTCCCCTGAATAATTATCTTGCTATCGAAACAAGCATTTTCGACCTCGTAATTGGGACAGACACAAACACCCTTCTAAAGCAGCTTCTTCCTTATAATTTTCAGAGATTTGTCCACTTTTTTCATTTAAATATTTTCCTTATTCAATCAACAGTTTTTTTGAATACTTTTGTGATTCTCTCAACACAAATGGAATCGCGCGGCACTAAAAGAAAAGACGGAAAAAATCTCGTGCTCAAAATTTTTGCTCGAAGACTTATTATCCAAAAATGAACACAAAGTTTAACATTCAAATTGTTCTTTATTCATTTTGCTTACAATTATTGGGTTCAAGATTACTATACTTTATGAAAAAAATTAATTTCAACACTATGAATAAAGATCATATTATCATATTATATTTTTAAAATAAATTTATACTGATGTAACTTATTTCCCTACATGCATTAAGAGTCCGACTTATATGAAATACAATTAAGTTTGTTTCTCTGTTCAAGGCTTGTTAGCAAGCGTCAATTATTTTATTATTTACATCTTCTATTTTCTTTGCTAATTTTTTTTTAATATTACAGACTGGAAAACTGAAGTATATATATATAATTAATTATTAAATTCAATAAAATAATTATTATTTAAAATATTATAAAATTAAATTTAACAAATAAATAAAAGTAAAATACAATTAATATATGAGAAATAGCTGTATAAATTTTTTTTAAACATTATTGTTTGTCTAAATTGTTTTTGTTTTTGTTAACCTTTCTAGAATTAGTTGGTGTACACGCGTTTTTGAAACTTTTTCACGTGAATAATGATTTTTAAACCAAACTAATGATTGTAGCATCAAACTTAGTTTCAAAATTATATTTTTTAAATTTTTTTTTCTGATTTTTGAGATGAATGATATAATAGTAAATTTTTATTATATATAAAATGATATGGTATATATACCACATCATTTTTGGTTTTCCTCTGAAAATTATTTCATATTTCAACAAATTTGACAAACCCTGGTTTTTTTCCTAAAGCTCAATTGACTTAATTGTATCAAACATTATGCATCGAATTTATTTCAAAAAATTGGTCTTCTCCTTGTTAGTAAAATCGATTTATTTTAAGATAATTTAAAGATTTTCCAGATTTTTTTTTCTTTTCGTCTAGCATATAAAATTTGGTCTCACCAAAACTTCTTTTTCGTTGAATTAAAAGTGTTTTCCACAAGGATAAGTCATCATTTTTTTTTTCACTAACAATAAGATAGTATTGACAAAAAAACTAAAAAAAAAAAAAAATGCATGAAAATTATAAAAATATTTGGAGTGATCTAATTTAATTTTGTTTTGAACTAAATGTTCAAACGGCCCATTGTAAGTCCCAAAAACGCGAAAGCTAATTGAGAAACTTGATTTTACATAGTTTTATAGGCAGTGCCGAGCCATCTCGAGCTTGCTTTTCGAAGCGCGTGTTCGCGGCGGCCGAGGGAGTGGAGCCGCCTGTCGGCCGAGCGCGAAGCAGCGGCCGAACGCCGCCGTCGGGGGTGGCGGGCAGAGGGTGCACATGGGCAGGGGTGGCAACAGCGAGGCGACGGCGGCACTGCGGATGTTTCCCGGCGGAGGCGGACAGGTAGGCAACCAGCGCACCAGTCCACGCCTAATGCCACTCGTTTTTAATCTCGCAATAGGCGCACCGCGATTTATTCTCTCACCCCTCAAACACCACCCCCTGCTTTGTCTCTCACCCCTCGGTCCCCAAACCACAACATTTTATTAAATCTCAGTCAAAAGTGAATTCCACGACACAAATTATAATTAATTTTTTAATTTTTGTAGGAATATTTTTTTATTTTTAAAATTTATTTTGTAAAAAAGGGGTGAATTATTTGCGAGGTCCGTATTTCGCGAACCGGAATTGATATGATTTTGGTGGCTCGGCAAAGACCGGCGGCTGCGGATCCTGCGCAAATACTCGCTGACCTTTGATCTTTTGTTTCGAGACCCGGGTAATAAAACGCTGGGCTTTTTGCTTTGGCGCCGTTCGAATTTATTGGGGCCAAAGCCAGTCTCTCTTTCTCGCGATTCGCCGCCGCCGACTGCAGTGCAAATAGTTGCAATAAAATCGACAGAATTGGAAGTGGCCAGTGCGTCCGTCTCTCTCTCATTCTCTCGTCTCATGCGTGTTTTATTGCTCGGCAGCAACGATTTAATATATAAACGCGCCATTGTTGCCCAAACCACAATATCACTGCAGCAAAAGCGTTTTTGTTTTGATCGGTAAAATAAGAAAAAGTGAAAAAAATTCTTTTTGCCCCAAAATATTTTTAATTAGAAGAATTAATTAAGAAGAATTTATAATATTTTTATATTAAATTTATTTAAATGTTTACACACATTCACATTATCCAAAACCTTTTTTACGTCAAAATTTCTTTTATTTATCATCTTGAGCAAAATTAAAATGAATTTATTAATTTTAAAATTCTTTGTTCTTTGTTTATATTAATAAGCATAAAATCCTTAAATATATAATTTACCGTATCAATCGTTTTATACTAAAATAACTAATGAGTATTAAAATGTAAAGGTTTTTTTCTAAATATATCACTAAAAATTAAATTTTAATCATTGTCATTGTTTACATCACTTTTATTTTTGAAAGTTCGAATCGACTCACAATTCTAACAGGGCCCTTCTGGATCACACGTGTTACTCGTAGAAGAAAACCTTATTTTCACTTTCAGTATTGGGAGACTTTAAAGAGTTTTTCAAGATTTTACTATGCAACCTGCGAAACAAAATATTTGGAGCAAAATGATGCTTATTATTAACTCTAAAGTAGAATAATTATGGTGGGATGAGTAACATGACCTGAATATTTTTTCCAGGTGAAAAAATCAAATTTTAAACCAGTAATTTATTGAGAATTTATACAGCAAAGAAACTACACGAAACGGGAAATAATTAAATTCATAGTCACCAGTACTAATTAATTAAACTGTAATTTATTTAAGCCTTTCGGTTTGCAGTTTCACAAAATCAGTTCTATTTGTATGGCTTTGGTTTTACTTTTTTAATTTTTTTTGTTTAATTTAATAATGAAATTAACAGCACCTTCAAGGATACTATGTTAATTGCAATTGATCTTCCCTAATTACAGTTAAAATAAAAATTAATTAAAATTTTAATCCATATTTGTTTTTGTTCTTCGCATTTATAAATATCATCAGAACTTTATACATTCAATGTTAACAAAACTTTGCCTGCGGAAATGAATTTTCCATTGCTACTTTATTTTTATTGCAAATTTCCCAAGCCTAAATTATTCACGAAAATTTTAGCGGAGTTTTGTCTCATAAATTTTCCTTTTTGAAGCCTCCTCTCGGTTCCAACGTCGATTCCATTTGCATTTCGGCCAAATCTGCCATTAAAACGCAAACAGCTTTTCTCGTAAAACAGAACGGCCCAATTTATCTGGCCCACTGATTTTTACAACCCCAGAACGGCGCAGCTCGAAAACACACAAAGTCGCCCCTCTCGCTTGACATTCGGCACAAATCACGACGGCGAAAACATCATCAAACGTCTCGATCTTTATCCGTCAAAACGCACTCAACGCGCTTGAACAGAAAAACCCTTTTTTTGATTCACCGCAATAAAAGTTTTAATCCTCCAAATCACTCTTTTCTTAATTTTTGCTGCAGGTCGACGACTTAATGGGTTAATTTGGCCATGACCACCCCTATGGAGGCGAACGCGACTCTGGAGACCACGGAGGACCCCGCTAATCTCACGGCGCTGCCGCCAGGTAAGTCCACGCGTGCCAAATTGGTCTGGCATCAAGTAAAAGGTCTAATAATGAATTATGTTAGAAATCTTCGCTGACTTTCATTATAAAAATGCTTTATTGTGGATCTTCAAATGTCAAAGGAAAATAAATTAAGTCAAGGGGCACATTGCTGGGTTTATTTTTCAATTATATTCAAAATTAAGAACTATTGCGTGAATGTCATTTAAAAAAAAAATTACACGTAAAAATATGTGTAAAAAACTGGAGTTGGTGGAGTTTTTGACTCACTGAACTTGCTTTTATCGTTGCATAAGCACCAGTTAATACAAATTTATTGGACTTGGCTGGACTTGCATTAATCCAATTAATTTTTATTTAAATATTTAAGAATTAAACCAATTTTAAGTGAATAACTCCTATACGCGTCCTACCAAGTTTGTTTTATAATTTTATTAGATGATATTGTTCAAGAGAAGAATATATTTATTTTCATGTGTAACTTTAAAATGTTTTCTATAGTTCAAGCACATTAATAATTAGAATATAAGTTTTGAATAAAAAAAAACACAATTAATAATTTATAAATGATAATAAAGGTTTAGATAAAAATAAATAATTTAATGTAAAATGTTGTGATGAAAATTGCGCACTTATAAATTAATTTTATTAAAAGTATAAAAATATATTTTATTAATTAACATTGTTTAATGTGTAAATTTTTTATTTTACATATGAACTGCAATAGAAATGAAGAATTAAAAATTTAAAACACCGAGCTTAAATGTTTTTTTTTTTTTAACTTTTCATTTATTGTTAGAAATATTATTTGCAAATAAAAAGAAAACTGAAAACTGAATTATGTTAACATTTTACCACAAATCGTAATATTGATTTTGCATTTTGCTCTTATCGTCTTATCGCTTTAAATGAGCGTTGGAAACCATTAGAAATTTGTCGTGCTCTCGACGAAGTTGCCAAAAAGAAGTCGGTCGGGCCACAAACAACAAGCTCGGCTCTCTTCCAAGCGTTTGCTCGCTTCCTGTTGTCTAGACGCAAATGACTCGCGTGATGTGTGCATCAAAGGCACATTTTTCCGAGTGATTTTGCGCATAATGTCGGCGGGCCATTAGGCTGCACCGCCTCTGCCGCAATGATGGAGAGATAAAAGTGCGAGAGTTGCTAAAACCGTGCCAAGTGATAATAAAACGGGGCAAACACCACGCGTGGTTTGTGTTATAATCTGCAAGGCAGCCGAGAGCAGGGCACTTTGATGACCATAATCTCTTGCAGGCCGAGCCCTGCCCTCGCGTTTCTTGTCCCTCCGGTTTATTGTTGTTGTTAACAAAAAGCATTCTTGATGTTCAAAGACCTATTTTCCAAAAAAGTCCAGTGAAAACGCGTTTCTCGCCTAAACATCTCTTTTTCCATGATGTTGGAAACTTCAAATAAGCAAAATAAGTCAAAATTATTTTAGGGTGCAATTTGAAACTGACGATTTGACTAAAAACCACAGTCATTTTTTCATACAGAAAAATTAAAGTATTTTTAAATAACAAAAACGGCTTTAGCAAGGAAAAGTATTTTTCCTGCTCATGAAATTGCTGTAATTGGGTAACAAAAACCGGTAGTCCCGTTTTTTCCAAATAATTTATTTTAAATTTAGTACAGAGCCCGTTTTCTTCACTCATTTTTCAATTATATTTATGGAATATTGATTCTCTTCTAAAAACACATCTTACTAGGAGGCCACCTCATTTTTCCGCCTCCAATTTGGTTGAAATTGGTAATTGGTACATGAGCTAGGCAGGGATAGAACGACTGCAGCCAAATTTTGTGCCAATGCCTCCTTTTGGCCCCATTTCTGGTTTTTTTTTCTTTTGATATAGGCATCCCGCGAATCCTGTTTGTCAAGAAATTGCCTAGATTAGCCCATTTCAGGTGTTTTATGCAAAATCTTGACAGACAGGACCCACGGGTGGCCTACCTCAAAAAACTTTGGCCGTCTGTAAAGAGGTCGAAAGGGGCTATTAGCACGAAATTCCGCCAAAACTGATCATTACACGTCCCAGCCTAGCCCTTGTGCCAGTTTCATCAAAATCGGAGGCGGGCTATAAAATTGATTGAAATATATTTTGAACTCTTCATAAATATAAAAATTTTGTAATTATTTTTTAATAATTCACCCATTTTAAGCTTTTATCAATAAAAAAATGAAAATTTTAAAATTTTTCAAAAATATAATCCAACCTAGAAATTCAAATTTTTAAAGAATACTAAATTTTTCAGTAATTTTTTGAAGCATTGAATAATTAAAATTTTTAATGAATCATTTATAAGAAAGCAGTAGCAGAAGCTTTTCTTCAATTCTTCAAAATTGGAAAATTGCGTTTTAAATTTTGACATCAAAATGAATAATAGCCCCTTACAATGAGCTCCATTTGACGACAAAGTTGAATTTTATTTCAGTTTGTAAGCATTGTTTAGTGGAAGGAAATAAAAATATCTCAGTCTCCACTTTGAAAAATGACTTTTTTCTAAGTAAATTTTCACCCAAGCCTGTTGGACAAAAATCGTCAAGAGAAGAATTTTCTGATTGAGATAGTTTTGAATTGACTTTTATTATCCACAAAAGGCTTTTTGTCAACAACATTATATCATTTATTCGCAAGAGGACGAGACCACAAGATTAACCCTTTACGCCCGGCGGCAGCAATAATCATTACGCCCGTTGTAAATAATCAACGCTGTAATAATAAAAAGTACTCAATTGTGCTGCCACAGCATTTCTCCACTTTATTGACTTCATTCGGTTTTTGCCTCGGCGAGATTAGACCGTTCCGTTTCCTCCTTGTTTGTCATCATTATTGTCATTTCGCTTCCTTTTTATTTCTGCGTCTCTGCGATGCAACTGCTGTTGATGGACTGGCCGCTGAAAACACGCAGTCGTTTATTATCTCGCTAACTGCATTGTGTGTAAATAAAGCGTTTTCCCTTTCCCGTTGATCGTATTATATTGTTTTTGCTGTCGTGACAGAAGATAGAGCGGCTTTAGCACTGGACGTTGCGAAAGTGTAAATGTGGTATTTTTTTCACACGGCAGTCCGAATTTGAGAGGATTAGAGCTGCGCGCAAAGCAATTCATCCTCCCTTTTTGTGTGTAAATTAATTCTAGATTTTTTGATAAAAATTAATCCTTTTGCAAAGAACATGTCCCTGTGTTTATTTAGGTCGCAGAAAAATTCACACCAGAAAATTTTTACTTTTTATTTTATCTTTTGATGCCTCTGAACATGGCAAAAATTTAGCAATTGGAAAAAATTCATTTATCTCATATATTCGCGACTTATTATCTTATCGTGGCGACGCTTCATAAGTCAATAAAGATCAATAATAATATTAATAATAATAATAATAATGCAAATAATACAATGTACCAAAGTTCAAAACATCAGGATTATGATTGTATTCAGCATTATTTTACTTGTTCACTCAATCCATTCCACAAGGTGGGAATACAAAAAAATATAATTAAATATATAATCTGGTTTTTAAAATCAATTTAAAAAGAAAGAACAATAATAATTATGTAAATTGAGTACCAAATAAAATAAATAATATGTTATAATTATTTAAAATTTAATAACTTGTTTTCAAAAATTATAATAAAAATTTATGAAATATGGTTTTTATTAATTTTGTATGATATTTTTTTTTCAGTTTTTTCTGAAGTCAACGTCGGAGGGCTGAACTGGTGCGTCGAGTGGAAAGACCCGCAGCACGTCCTCTTTCAACTGGCCAACGTTTGCTTTCTGATTTCCTACTTGGCGCCCAATTCTCGACACGGCATACTTTTCATGCATGCCACCCTTACGCTAGGCAGGTCGCTTTTACCCCAAAACCCACTCGGTCATTTTTATATTTTCTTTTCCATCGCCACTTCTTTTTTTTTTTTAATAAAAAACACTGAAAATAATAATCACTCTCGCCGGCGGCGACCTTGTCTCGTTAAAAGCGGCCGACATTGAAACGCGTTCTCATTGTTGGGGCGGAAACGAAAAATTCCATCGTGGCATATTTTCTGTGTCACAGGAAATTAGACTTGCATGTTTCGAGAACGAACGACGCGTGCGTTTTGTTGAAAGAAAAATTGCGGCTAATGCGATCAGGTTGTTTCGTAATCATCTTAATGAAACGCTAAAAATAATGTGACCCGAGATTATTTATGCATATCGCATAGATTGATTGGAGTTGAGATTATTTTTAAGCACAACATTTATTAACCCTTTAATGTTTTCTTCTGAATTGGAAACCTTGGAGAAATTTCCATAGAATAATTTAATTGCAATTATTTTTAATCGCTTAATGTCCCACTTATTAAAAGAAGAATTAAGAAGTGTGTAATCGAAATTTTTATTCCGAAGATTGACAAGCCAAAATCGTTTAAAATGAAATTAATAAATCAATTTTTTATGAAAAAATAACAATTTTTTTTTTAAATTGGAAATTTGATAAAAAAAGGTGTTCGTTCCTTCAACGCTTCTTAAAAGTTTGAAAAAAATAGTGGTGAGGAAAATGTAAGGCTTTGTTTGAAGCGTTGAAACAAAAGCAATTGAGTTCTTACAATTAAAATGAATTTATGGATTTATGAAAGCCATTAAACTTCATATTAATTAAGAGACAATCATGAATATTTTTCCACTATTTAGATGTTCCAATGAAAATATTCTCTAATTTTAATCTTTCATCCTTCCATTAAAATTAATTCTTTATGATTAATTGTAAATTTAATTGTTTTTGATTGTTTTTTGATTGTTTAGGTGTAACAATTTTCATTTTTTTTACTACAAAAATCAAGCTATACATTTTATTTTATCCATTTTTTATGCACGATAAAAACTACCGCATTGCCCACATACATAAATTCAACGGCCAATTGCAATTCTTTCTCCCTTAAGGTTTCCTGCTGTTCTGCACGTGGTCGTGGAACATAATCTGCGCTGCCGACATCTTCACCTGGAACTTGGCCTTCATCTTCTTCAACGCCGGCCAACTGCTCTCGATAATTTATCAAATGCGGCCGGTCAAGTTCGACGCCGAGCTCGAGGACGTTTATCTCACCCTCTTCTACCCGTTCAAGGTATGTTTTCAACCCCTTTGTCAAGGGGGTACGTGATGTGTGCGCGGTCCGACCGCACGCAACGTTGAAAAAGACGCGGCTCAACTGCGATTGATTGCAGGTGTCGCGCTCCACGTTCAAACGAATGGTCAACAGCGAGTTCGCGCAAATCATGTCCCTGCACGCCGGCGAGGCCTACGCCATGCAGAATTTGACCAAAACCGACCGACTTGGGCTGCTCATTTCAGGAAAGGCACGTTATTTGATTAGAATAAATGATATTTGTGTTAATATAATTAAGCTTTTTAATCAATAACTTTTGATAAACAAGAGGAAAATTGACAAAATCCGAGCAAAATATATTTTTATTCTTTAAGTTAAATTCAACCAAGCGTGGAAATCTTTATATATGTATTAAATTATAAAATATAAAATCAAATTACCAATTTAATGTCAGATTTGATAATTTTTTTTGAATACTTCTAGAAGAAAGTATTAAAATATAAATTATAAAATTTATTATTATTTTTAATTTTCATAATAAAATCAACCTGCAATAATCGTTGAAAATGATTTAGTTTAATAGAAAAAATTATTTAAAATAATATTGTACTTTTAATTTTCAAACTTTCTTTTGCTCCATCACTCCAAATTGTAAGCCAAAATGATAAAAAAAACTCCATTTCGCAATCTTTTTCTTTCAAATATAAATTTTTAAATTTCCTTTGACGTTTCAATTCTTGACATATCCTGCCTGGCGCCTTCCATGAATTATAGTGCGGGAAAAAACATAAAATTGAGTATAATTTAAGGACTCCTTATTGACATAGTCAAATCAAGTCTTTAGAAGCCATTTTGGGCAATTATTGGAAATTAAACAAACCATTGTTGTAATGACTTGATTTGACTATGTCAATAAGGAGTCCTTAATTTGACACTGAAATGGAAAAAATTTACCAATAACCAATATTCCTCATTTTTATTTTGGGAATTGAAGACTGTTGAGAAAATTAAAAAATGTAATTAAATAATTATGAAATCTCAAAGATTAAAAACGAGGAAATTAATGTAAAATTTTTTAACCTCCACACCTTTGGAATAACACACTAAATTATAATTTTGCTCTTAATAGTCTTAATATCTACATTTTGATGCATCCCATGTTTTTTACAGAGCACCACACTCAATGTACCTTAACAGATTGAATAAATTAAAAAAATCACAAATTAACTCATATAGTTTCCCCAATTTTTTTTTGCAGATCAACGTGTTGTCCGATCAACAATTTCTGCATCACATCTTGCCGTGCGAATTCCTCGACTCGCCTGAGTTCGAATCGAGCAAGGCAAACACCGAGGATAAATTCAAGGTAAAACGGGAGAGCGTCGAAATTTATTATTAATGTTGTTTATTTGTCCACATATTTACAAATACATTGTTTACATTCAATTTTTGAAAAACAATTATTTAGAAAAAGAGATTGTTGGACAAAAAGGCATCACCACTAGCAAAAATTTTGCTCAAACTTCCGAGATCAAAAAGACCCCATCCGCCGCAGTGAGCCTAATTTGCATGAAATATTCATGAGAATAAATAAATAATCCTCCCCTCGCACCAAACTCTGAGAAACAATAATTTACATTTTAAATTTGCGTTTTGCATGCGATTACGTTGTTTGACTCGATTTTTTTTTCTCTAATTCTTTCGTTTGCGCCGACAACTGCACAACGCCCATCTGAAGAATGATTTGCGGCCGAAAAACAAACGCCCTGGCGGCGGCGTTTTTGCTCAAATGCCACTCACGCGAGAGCATTTTAATTAGCGGAGAGTAGATTCTCTCTTTCGCAGTTTTAATTCTCATCGCCCGCCAGCCAGCCTCATGTGCAAACACTTTGCATGTGAGGAGGTCTCGTGTCTAATGCGATGAGCCCGTCCGTAATGCGATCTCGTGCATTAGTCAAGAGCTCGTCGCGCGGCCCGCCGCATTTTTCATGCCGCAGACTCAAAGAGGTCGACTCTTGAATTATTATCTCGTGCATGCGTTTGCTGCGGATCAAATTCCACAATGTCCACTTTATTTGGATTAAAATTTTAAATCGTAATAAATAAGCAAGGTTCATTTTATCCGCATTGCTTAAATACTAAATTAAAATCATTTAGAAGAAGTGCTTGGCAATTTTTTTTTAAATTTTAATCCGTTTTTGGACTGTTCTTTATGAGATTAAATTAATTTTGAATTGATAAAAGACTAGAAAATTTAATTTTTAATGACAAGACCCCTCCTAACAATGAAAGTGATATTAATAATGAAATTTTGCTGATCCAATTTGTGTATAAAAATAGCGTTTTTGATAACTTGCTTTTGGTGTTTTTTTCCAAATATTCAGCCAATGAAACGATTATTCAGGAGATTTTTCCAAAATTTAAAATATTAGTTAACTGAAAAAATTAAGGAGATTAAAAAGATGGTCGTTTTTTGTCAATTTTATTTCAAACTTCAAATTTCTTTTTTTTAGAGGTTTTTTCCGTGGATTTACTAAAACTGTGCGAGAAACACTTGGCTTTAAAGAATGGAATATACAAACCAAAATTATGACTTTTAATTTACACTTTACAACACAAACTACTCTACACTAACTTGAACAGAAAAAACACACGCACACTATAACAATTGTCTGAGAATTCAAATTTCTTGATTTAAAAAATTAAATAATTTTTAACTAGATTTGGACAAAAATTGACGGGAGATTGAAATTATATCACCAATTAATGTGAATTTCAACCATTTAATTATTAATTCAGGTTTCAACGGATAAATAATGCCGATTGTGAGACCAAAATAGCAATAAATTTATTCAGTTCGACTAGCTTTATTTTTTTATATCAGTTTATACTTTTCAATTGGCGGAAAATTTCAATGAAAAATCATCGATTTGATTATCAGGTGTCAATAGTGGCGGCCACTTCTTGCCGCTACGTTTACTGGATGAGAACTGCCCTCGAATATCTATTCGTCAAAGAGCCGTACTTGGCCACGGTACTTACGACGCTGATTGCGCGCGACATCACAACCAAGCTGTACACCATGAACACCAAGGTGACATTTTATTTCCTCCTTTTGTATTTTTCCACGCCCAAATAATTGGTTGTTTGCTCGGATTTATTTTCCTCTGAAAGGAAAGTATTGACTGGCCGAATTTGTGTGTGTTTTGCATGCAGCTCATGACCTCGAGGGGGTCTCACCTGGATATCCGACTGCCGAGCATCAGTTCCGCGGCGTTCGGCTCCATGGCTGCTGGCGAATACAAAGATCCGCCGCGCAGCATAAAGCATAGCACATTTGCCGACACAAGTAAGATGAATTTTTATTTCGTGCCTGACCCAAAAAAAAAAATATTTATAAAAACTATAAATTTTGTTGTTTTGTTTCTGCTTGTTTAGTATTTAAATAAATAAAATATATTAATTACATAAATTAAGCTAAATAAGTGACCAAAAAAGGGGAACTTTTTACGTAAAAATTTTTGTTTGGAAGTACCGCAGAAATAGTTTTTTTTTTTATTATTATAATAAAAAAAGTCTTTTTAATGGATCGTTTTCCAAAATTTATAAAGATTTATGAATCAAATTTTAAATTTTACATAATAAATGAAGATAGAACCACAAGCCTAGATCAGAATATGCTTTCTGGTAACTCTATTTAATTTTTTTCAAAAATTATTTGCTGGCAGTTTCTATTGAAATATTGACTAAATTTTGCCAACTAGTAGAAATATCAAAGTAAAAAATTAAAATTTTGCTCCGAATGGACCCAAAAATTAAAAAAAGTCTCGAAAATTTCAAACTTTTTAAATAGACTTTTAGAAATGATTGAGTCGTTGCTTTTGCTTATAGTTTTACATTTATTTGAAACAGAGACACAATTTTTTCAGAATTAATATTTTCTTGAAAATTAGAAATAAAATGCCAAAAAAGCATTTCTGTTCAAGTTCTGTGCTTTATATATTTTTTTATTAATAATATTTTATAAATAAACCCATTTTTGAAAAGACCTGCGTCATTTTATGCTAAAAAATTCTAAATCATAGTTAAGAATTTATGCAGAATTTCTTTTTTTCTCAAACATCTGCCTTGATTTAATATTTATGAGCTGGCCGCAATTTCTCTCTCTCTCTCTGATTTTGCTCGCGTCAATTTTTATATTCCAGTGTTTGCTGGCAACTTTCCGACTGTGAAGGACACGACGGGTCTGCTGCTGCCCAACGGCCGACTGCAGATGGAGCCGCTGCGAGAGTTGCCGTCGACCGACGACTTGGCGTCGGGCGTGCAGAGCTGGTTGGACACCAATTCCAAGTTCCACGGCCACCACACGCCAGACCACAACTTTTGAAACGACGCATGTATGCAACCCGCTGAACCGCAGTGACGCACTTATTGCATACGGCCGTTAACACCAGGCGCTTATTGTTCTGTTGAGGTCGGATTTAAGAAAATTGTTTGGAGAATTATTAAAAAAAAAAAAACAGACTGCTGATAACCAGAATTAAATAGGAATGAATAAAATAAGCTGAAATAGATATTCTTTGAGTTTTCCTTCAACTGTTTTCAACGATAATTTAGAATTTTGAGGAATAAAAACAGCTTTCATGTGAGTTTTAATTTTTCTTGAACCACAAAATATTAATAATATTAATGGAAATGCACAGGAAATTTAATTTATTAAAATAATTTTTACTATGAAATTTTCCTTCATATCCGCAAGTTTTACATCTTTAAAATAAAAAGTATAAAAGGTGACCTGAATTGCAATATTGCTCGGGAAAAGAAATAATTTAAAAAAAGTTATGAATCAAAATGTAAATTGTGTAAATTTACATATTTTTAAGTTGATTTGCATGAACATAAACTGTTGAATCAGCTGCTTTTGATCATGATTGATGATGGAAACAATGTTGGTTTTTCACTTTAAACTACTTGGAGTGCAAAGTCAGGTGTTTTTTAATGTCAAGATGCAATCTCTCGATTTTATTTTTGGCGCACATTAACATAATGCGTGATATGAATGAAAAGGGGTGGAAAAAAAATGAACAGAGCCGGCGGCCTTGCAACAAACGCACCAAATCCGCGCTATGGCAACAATCTCGACGAACCGCCGCTTTTCCAGCTGCTATCGACCTTCACCTTCACTTGATTGCGGGTGCGCATTTATAATTACTACGGAATTCAATGCAACTTTCTTTCTTGGTTGTTTGCGTGCTGCTTACAATAAAATGATGAAAACAGTAAACTAGAAATTAATGACAAATTTTGTTGCGATTAAAAATGATTTTTTTTTATAAATTTTAATTAATGTGCAAAGAAGAACAATTTTATATTTACATTTATTACATGTACAGTAATAAATTACTTATAAATAATTAGTTTTAAATAATTTAATTTAAATTGTTTTACAAAATATTCTAATTTTTAGTAATTGTTAATTTTATTTTTTGTATATTGTATATTTATTTTTTTAACTTTTATAATGTATAAATTTAAAATCTATATATTCTGCTCATGTGACTGAAGAATTTTTATTGATACAGGTTAAAGTCATATAAATCTTTGGAGCCTACGTTGCATTGAAATTATTGTTTTTCATTCTAAATAAAATCCAAAAATGAAAGAAAATTTCTCAGCAACCTCAAGGGGATATAATTACTAAATTTTTATCCATCTTGACAATTTTTGAAAAAAATATTATTGGTCCAATTGTAAGTATATCTGATTTTTGTCTGAATTCTTTATTAAATTAATTATTCTTCTCGGTTGTTTAAATAATGCAAATTTTTCTGAAATGAAAACGATTTTGGCTGTGCGATCGGCGTTTTTTGGTGCGGCCGAAAGTGATCGGTGGTGGCGTTGGTCTCGTGTCGGCTGCCGGAGCGAGCGAGCGAGAGCAGGGCGGCCAGAGCGCCGGAGGAGCGCAAAGGGAGCTGCTGGCTGGCGAGTGCAGGCGAATCGCCGGCATATTGATTCAAAGCGCGGTGTGAGAGTGAGTGTCGAGCGTGCAGCGAGGCCCTGCCGGCCCACCGTGAGCACCGCACCATGTGAATCGGCCGATTTGGTCCCGTCGACGAGACAAAAAGAAGGCCAGCGGCTGGCCGGGGCCCAAATGGTTGCGGCTGGTTGCATACCTGCAGCGCCGCCGAGGCAACAAGTTCGCCGCAGAGTGATTTGCCACTCAGTGTCTCACTAGTGCGTGCGAATCTTCTTTCCGCCCACGGCCTGTGACCAACATCCGCAAACAACGTGGTGAGTAACGACCCCCGTCCCTGGCTTTCCGTCTTCAAAGGCCCTTTTTACACTGCCCTAGCCCGCAGCCACTCATTTATTCCATCCGGAATATTATCTGCAGTTTTTATTGCACGTTTTTCTGTGAAATTTCGATTGACGCGTTTGGATTAAAATGTCTAAAAAAGCTCAAGTGCCAGGCTAAAAGAAAAGTCTGATCCTAAACATAAAAAGAGCTGCAGTTATTGCCAGGAATAAGAGCAAAAACTAAAAATCAAAAGCGGCATTTTAAAGTATTAGGCAGCCTTCAGCAAAAAATCTTTTCATTGCTTGTTGTACGTCATTTAATAATTTGGAAATTTCTAATTTCTTAAAATTTTATTGTAAAGATTTCCAATTTTTCTCTCTTAATGTGAATAAAATGTGATTTAAATTTGTTTGAAGAAGTTGACACTAGAGGAGATGATCATGGAAGTGAAGCGATCGGGCTTTTCCTCGTTGCAGAAAATTGTTTTTATTAAAAAAACAAATGGCTCTACCAGTTTCGGTAACGGTCAGCGACCCTATTTCATGATGTGGTTTTTTCTAATTTTGCTGATGTTTTTGCATTTTTCTTACTCATGAAATAGGGTCGCAGACCGTTACCGAAACTGGTAGAGCCATTTGTTTTTGAATAAAAACAATTTTTCTGCAACGAGGAAAAGCCCGATCGCTTCATTTCCAAAATGTGATAACTTTGAATTTATGATCGATGTATCTCGATATGGGCAATAAATGCCTCTGCTATACACAAGTAAATATCATTTTTTGCAACTAAAATTTGCTGAAGGGGTATTATTATTATGTGTGTCAATGTTGTTTAATACACCTCGCTTATTTTGAAGTCAATAATGACAAAAACTAAAATTAATGCTGTTTTTTTTTACAATTAAAATATAAATTTTATTTAAATTGTTTTAATTTAAATGATACTAAAGCAGTTTATTTTTAATACATTTTTATTTTTTAAATTTATATATATTATATTTATTTTTAATAAATATATAATATCTTTGTATCAAGATCTTGATGGAAATCGAGATCAACACCAGTAAATATCAGTTTTGTCATAAAATAGATTTATTAATAAATAAATTGTATAAGCTACACTCTATTCATAATTTAATTCTGATGTAAGAAGTTGGTCCTGATCATGCAGCTTGACAATTAATAATATTATTATGAGAAATCAATATAATATAAATCCACAAATTAATGAACTTTCGCCATCCTAGTATGGTTACTATTTAAGAGCCTCCATTCGTAAGTTTAATTTTAACACACAATTATTCGATTCCGGCTTCAGTGTTAGTCTCTAGATCTGGGTAGGTGTTGCAAGTGGTGTGCCATTGCGGGCAGAAACATTTTCTCTAATTTGGCCCCGGTTGATTTTATCGTCGGTTAGGGATTCATAATCCCGCGGAAAGCTGCGGGCTGCACCGACCGTTGTTCGCTCCTCTTCACACACATTCACAGTCGGATTCACTTCATTCTGTTAATTAGGTCAGGCAAAAACGTGCAAATGTTGCCATTCGGTTGCAATACAAGCGCCTCTCGCTACTTCTCGCACTGGAAAAAGCGGCAGGGCGCAAAGCCGTTCGGATTAGCCTCCGAAATTAATAAGCATGCGCTTGACGCGAAATGCGCCAAAAATTAAAAAAAAGCCTTATAAGACAACTGAAAAAATTATTGCGTACCGAAAACCGTTTGGGAACAAATTTTTAAATTGAAAAAAATGGAAAGTAGAGTCAATTTTTTTGGAAAATAAATGTTATTCATGATATTTTGATCGTATTTTCATTAGAATTAAGGCACTCGAATAAAATTTGAATTTTTAAAAATTGAAAATAATTATTTTTGAATAAAAATACAAATTTTGCAAAACAAATTGCTTACAGATTAAGAAATTACTCACAGATTCATCTTAAAAATACTTTCAAAATTATTTTAAGCCATTTTTTTGGTTGCTAAAACTATTTTTTTTTTATTGAATTTGTTTGATTTTTGTGCTAACATGAAAGACTTTCTTGAAAATAAACAAATAATTTTACACTTCAATTTTTAATGACGTTTTTCAAGAGTCTATTAAACACAAAAAGCAAACTTTTGTCGGCTTTTCAACTCCACACAAAGAATATGCACAATAATCGTCCACTTATTGAATAAAATATACAAAAAGTAGCGTCCTCCGGGGCGACAGGGCGTTTTCCCTTCCTGCGAATAAATTCACAACAATGCACTTAATGGCCGGAAAAAATCTGCCCTCAGCTGGCGCACAAAATACACGACCGCACAAAGAGTTTTATCGCGCGGAAGGAGAGATGAAAAGTATGCAATCAGACTGTCCGTGCAGTATATTTCTTCCAATTTTATACCCTTTGAAAATGTAAATAATTTCGCGAATTTACATCAGCAGTGGGTAAACGACTGCGTATATTCTGGCGGCGGGCTCGTGTTTTGCGCCTTTTGGGGATTACTTTGGTGTCTGCGTTATTGGAACACGACAAGAGAGCTTTTTGCGCGACGCCGGACGCAAAATATACACATTTTCGCCCGAAGCAGCCCGACGAGGGAAATTTAATTGAATAATGTACGCATGTCGGTTGTTGCTGCTGCAGAACTTTCTTTCGCCCGCTTTTCTTTAATAAATTCGCAAGTAGGTCTGCATGACGAGCCCTCGAGGGGTGGAATTAAGCCTATTACACCATTTTCTTGACGTGTCTTGTACGAGATAACCCTTCAATGTAATATTCTCAGGCCTGTTTAGCATATGATTATGAAGAAAATTGTATGGTGAAATTTTCACGTCATCTGAAAGACCGTTAAATCATTACTTCCTTCCTTGATGAAACCCGTTAACAATTTATATCGTATCTCGTTAAAATGTTTAACGTCATTTTTAAGAGATTTTTTTCAATTGAATTTAGAATCGCATGTAATATTGAGATTTTTGTTTGAATTTTTGATCGATAAAAAAATAAACAGTTCAATTTTGGTAATTCTTAATACATAATTATTATAAAAATCCTAACACCCTCCTATCAAACACAAATCTTCTTGAAGCCGATCTTAAACTCAGTGCTTGGCGTTGGCAATATATTTATTTATTCATGTTTTTTGTAATTATATATAAAATGAAGAATATTATCCTGATGCAATGCTATGGTAACTATTAAAAGTAGATACAATTATATGTAATAAATAAAAATATTATTAATGAAGTAAATCAATAAACGTTATAATTGATAGATATATTTAAAAAATATTTATTTCTAAAAAAATTATTATTATTATACTTAAAAAATTTATAAAAAGTAAATTTTGCAAACAATGTAAATTGTATTACCATTTTTGTATGTTGCACACACGTGTTTAATATTTTGATGATGAAAAATTATTTAATTTATAGCCTCTTGTGTAGTTTGCCGTTTATTTTTAAGTTTGATAAGGGCCACGTACCATTTGGAACAATTCAATCACATAATATGATGGAAATGTCTGATTTTTAGTTCTGATTAACAGTAGTTTCCGCAATTTCCGCAAAGACCACTTAAAAGCAAATTTTGAGCTGAGGAAATGTTGAAAACTTCAAACCCTTTTCCAGGCGTTCGAGTAAAAAATTAAACATTAAATTGAATTTAAATAAAAAAAAATAAAAAAATTATGAAAATAACTAAAAAATAAAATAGTAATGAAGAGATCGGGCTTTTCCTCGTTGCAGCAAACTTGTTTTTCATTCAAAAACAAATGACACTGTTTTTGATTAAAAAACAATTTTTGGGCAACGAGGAAAAGCCCGATCTCTTCATTTCCATGATCATCTCCTCGAGTGTCAACTTCTTCAAACAAATCAATAAAATGGTCACGAATTGTTTCCACTTTCTTTTTAAACAGAATATTCTCAAAAATTATGCATCAACATTAATAATTTTTATTTTGATGGATATGTTTTTGGTTTTTCTTTTATTCCACACATTATTATATATTGATATTTTCCTTGATTTCTTTTGATTTGGTGAATTCTACAAGTAAAAACAACTGTTATAATAATTAATAATTATAAAAACCGATATTTGTATGAATAAATGAGATAAGATAATGTTTGTCGATCCGTCGCAGCTGCAGGGTCCATTAAAAATTTGGAGCGGAAAAGCTCGCCGGCGGCGTCGGCACATCCGAGTGTAGCTCGCGTTCGTGTTTGGCGAGAGACATAAATGCAGATTTGTGTTTGCTCGTGTGTTTTGTGGCTGAAAATATCTGAGCAAACAGCCTCGGCGGAGTTCATTTATGTGCGGCATTCATATCACAAGGAGAGAGAGCAAAAGCATCAAGACACAGGACGCCGCTGCAGAAGCTCTCGTAATCAAAAGCGACTTAGGGACTTGTTAGTTAGTCCCATTCAGGCATTTCAGGCCCCAGCGCAGCTAACTAACTTTGCACTGTGCATGCACGAGTGTGTGTCTAGCGACGCCAACATTCGTCTTGGTCATTAATTTATGCAAACACATTTTCCTGAGTAATTAGATACCAACAAAACATGAGAGGAGAAATACGGGATTGAGGTATCAGATAAACTTTATTCAATAAAAATGTCACAAATTCCTCTGAAAGCAATTTATTTTATGCAGTAGTAATCTTTTGGAGCTCATAAAAAGTCTGAAATTTATATATAATAAAAGTTATTGTTGTGTTGCTCTAATTTTCATTTTTATCTCCGAAATTTGCTTTTCCAGTTCAATTTTTATCCTTCAATTTATTTGATATCTTGGAAAATTATTCCAGTTTAAATGACCACGTGAAAAAGTTTAGAATATTGTGATAGTTTATTTCTGTAGATGGAGAAATGAATCATAAATTTTACTTTAAAAACGTGGATTTCCGGATTTTGAACATGCTTTGAGGTTTTAAGGTAAAATAATTACTAATTACACGTTGATGAGTTTTTAAAATAACCAGATCGACTTAGCTAGATCACTGCGGCA